AGATACGGTGTGCAACTTGCAGCAAAGGACAGAGCCGTCTGTAGGGCACCAGGCAAAGGACAGCCTCAGCCTAGCTACCCCGGGAGATGGTTCAGTCGATGCTATCTACAAAGCAGTGGTAGATGCTGCAAGCAAGGGGATGCAAGTAGTTATCACCACCGCAGTGAACAGTACGACACAAATGAGCCCCATTCCAGCCCTGAGTGCCATGAGTGCCTTCACAGCCTCAATTGGTGACCCATTAAATCTTTCTAGTGCGGTCAGTGCAGTAATCCACGGAAGAAACGTTGGCATTTCTGATCATGAAGGTAGGGCAAGGAACACGAGGGGGGCACGAATATTGAAGAATTCAGAACACCTTAAAAATTCCAGTGAGGGGGAGGGCTTGGAATACTATAAGACAACAGGTTGCAACACACCCAAAAAACAATGGGAAGGGGAACAAAGCCCTGGAGGGGAAATGAACAGATGGAAGTGTGAGGAATTTTTAGACCATTCATCCCATATCCACAGCAGTCCTTGCCATGAAAGACCTAATAATGTCTCCACACTGCCATTAGTTCAAGGCAAGCAGCATCCAATACTGTTACCCCAGCGAAATTGTCAAAGTGATAAGATGTTGGAGGAGAACTTCAGGTATAGCAATTACAAAAGAACTATGATGAGTTTTAAAGAAAGACTAGAGAACACTGTGGAACGATGTGCACACATGAATGGAAACAGGCCTCAACAAAGCAGAGGTTTTGGAGAGTTGCTGAATGCTTCTAAACAAGACCTGGCAGTGGAGGAGCAGTCTCCAAGTTCCTCCAATAGCTTTGAAAGTTCTCTAGTTAAAGACTACATCCATTATAATGGGGACTTTAATGCCAAAAGCGTTAATGGGTGTGTGCCTAGTCCTTCAGATGCTAAAAGCATTAGTAGTGAAGATGACCTAAGGAATCCTGAATCCCCTTCTTCAAATGAGTTGCTACATTACAGGCCAAGGACGTTTAACGTTGGGGACTTGGTCTGGGGCCAAATAAAAGGACTGACTTCATGGCCTGGTAAACTAGTAAGAGAAGATGATATTCACAACTCATGTCAACAAAGCACTGAGGATGGGAAGGTATATTTATACATGCATTTATTTTATCTTATTAGTAACAAATGTGTCTCTTACACAATATTTTAATCTCTCTGTTGTTTTTTGGAAAGATATTATTGCTTATACCCTTTAATGTGCTGATGGAGTTTTCATTCCTATTTCATGACTACAATCGCAAAGGGGCAGGGTTGCTTTTCTCTCCTACTTGTGAACCTTACAGATAACTTAGGGAAAGGACCAATTTACTTTTGAAAAAATACACAAAATGCATTCTGACAACTTACACTGTTGATGCCTTTTAAATATGAATTTATGATAGATTTATTTAATTCCCCGAAGTTGTAAAAATTTGTACAACATTCACATTTTTTATAATGCATGGTAATTTAAAGGTAGGGACACGGGTAGCGCTGTGGTCTAAACTACAGAGCCTAGGGCTTGCCGATCAGAAGGTCAGCGGTTCGAATCCCCACGACAGGGTGAGCTCCCGTTGCTCGGTCCCTGCTCCTGTCAACCTAGCAGTTCGAAAGCACGTCAAAGTGCAAGTAGATAAATAGGTACCGCTCCGGCGGGAAGGTAAACGGCGTTTCCGTGCGCTCCTCTGGTTCGCCAGAAGCGGCTTAGTCATGCTGGCCACATGACCCGGAAGCTGTACGCCGGCTCCCTTGGCCAATAAAGCGAGATGAGCGCTGCAACCCCAGAGTCAGCCACGACTGGACTTAACGGCCAGGGGTACCTTTACCTTTTAATTTAAAGGTAGTTATCATCAACTTTATTATTGTTGCTGGTCCCTGTCTCCCCCCCCCCCCCCGTTCTACTGTATTGGCCCTAATATAAGCCACATCTTTAAAATTGGAGGGGGGAGAGAGAAAAGAAAAAATACCTGAATATAAGCCGCTCCATTCCTCGCTGCTCCTGGCTGCATACTGGGGGAGGGGGAGCCACGCTGCATTGCCGGCAGCCTTTCCCCTTCCTTGCTCTCCCTTCCCAGCCTTGGGGGAGAGGACGGGGGACTCTGCAGGGTGGGCATTGCTTTGCTGCACTCCAGGCACTGTTTGCCCCACGCTCCTGGCTGCATACCGTAAGGTTGCGAATATAAGCTGCAATTTAACTTTGCACGGTCGGAATTTGGGGAAAAGACGAGGCTTATATTCAAGCCAATACGGTATTTCAAAAAGTCCCCTGACCATCTGGAGCACTTTTTATGGGGCTGGATAGAGGCAGAGGGTCTCCTTGTACACGTGGTCCTTTGGATCCAAGCTAAAGCTAATGAAACTGTCCTAACAGAATGAGGTGTGTTGATCAAATCAAAACTCTACTATTGGTTGTACCAAGTTCTTCAATACCAGTGTTAAAACCTAAGGCCTGTGTTTCAAAGTTAAGTGCTTATCTTCATATTACAACGGATGGGAGATGCAGCTTCTCAAACAAAACAAAAACATCAGCCCGCTAGCTTGTGTAGAAACATTTATTAGTAGATATTGTTACTACTTTAACAGCAGCCACATTGTGTTACTATTAATTTATGACTTGTTAAATTAATGGAAGTTTAATGGATTTTTGATTTTAAAACCTTTATACCAAGAGGTAATTCCAGGAAGTTCATTATAATTTTAGGACATTCTGTGCATTTATTGTTTTTTCAAATTTTTTTTGGAGGAGAATCATATCAGTTCAGATCCCCAGAGGTCTTTCCAATAGAAATATGCAGTAAAAATATTTTTAATAAAGGAAAATAAAACTAAATGTTATTAGAGATAGTGCTAAGGTGATTTCTTTAAAAAAAAAATTGATAACTTTGACTTCCATTGACAATTGTAACACATATTTTATATTCTTTGTAAACTGCTTGAGTTTTTATTTACAATTAAGCAGTATACAAATTCAGATAAATAAATGAAATAAATTTAATATTGGCCAGGAACTCTAGAACAGTTCGCTGCATGCGTGTTCATCATGATGACCTGTATTAAATGATGACATCACTTGTGAATTATAAATTGGCTGTCATACGTTTATTTCCAGAGCTAGAAAATGGGGTTCTGTGTCAGCTATGAGCATCTTTGGAATCTTTTAGATCTTGAGTCAAGAAGCTGCTTTCCCTGTACTTCTCATCAAAGGACTATTTAACTCTGTATGAGATGAGATATAAATACTATGCTCTGGAGAACCTTTTTTCAGGGATTAAAAATTGTCATAATATAAGATGAATTAGTATCCCAGATTCCTATCTTCAGATAATCTCTTCAGCATGATCGTTCTTTGCTGAGCTTTAATATAGCTGATATTATATCTGTTCTGATTAACTTCAGATAGGCAATACTAACACCAGTATGGGATCCACAGTTATAGATTCCATACAGTGGGGACACTGCTAGAGTGATAGCATTATGGTGTTGATCAGCAAATGCCTATATTTACCCTTTTGGAGTCCTCAGATCAGTTAAAAAGGATATGGAACACCAAATGCTCTACCACTGCCATATCACAAATGCTGTGATACATACTGATGTAAAGTTAATTGGCCACTCCAAGTTCTTACATCGTGCAAACGTTCAGGATAAAGGCTTTAGGTTTCAATCCTGTTGCTCAATTGAAGCTCATAGCAGGAGTTTTGTTGTTGTAATGGTTCAGTTGACTTTATGCATTCATGCAATGTATAAATTCACTATTATTGATACAAAAAGATAATTGTCTATTTAAGTGTGTGTGTGTGTGTGTGTGTGTGTGTGTGTGTGTGTTTTGTTTAAAAGAAAAAACACCAAAGATGCAACAATGAAGATAAACTAATAGAATTTATTTCAGATTTTAAATGTTAATTTCATTGATTGGGTTGGTGAAATGAACTGTGAAGTTCTTGAATACCATCTGAAAAACAAAGTTATCTACACATAATAATTGTAATGTCATTTGTACATACGGCTGCACAAAACAAAGAAATCATGCTTTTACAAAGTTCAATTAGAAATGGAATTGACTTGAGCCATCTGGTGCTGAAATCTATAATTTTTATTCCTTATTTCACAACAGCTGAACTCTCTTTAGTGTTGCCCAATTTGTAGTTTTTGTTGTTAATTACAGTGGACTAAATTGTATAGTGGAATATTGGTACCAAAACAAAATGTGTTGCTTTAATAATCAATGATACTAAGATTAAGCATAATTGTTTTACAAACCACCTCATTCACTTGCCATTTAAATTGTGTAGGCAGGTAAATCTTATCCAGGACTTTAGCTGATATGGTGCAAACCTTGATTGTTTCCACTAAGGTTAAAGTAACATTAAATCTGAAGCAAGTAAGTTGGGACTTCAGTTGTGCTAACCCTAAACTCCCTGATGATGTTGCAATTAGTGCCATGGTTAATCTTTTCCTTTCATCCTGCTCTGAAAAATGCCCTTTTATAATTTTCCTGTGTGACTTTGGGACTTTTTGCCAAAAACCAGCACAATATTAGGTAGTTGCTGCTATTCCTGCTGCCACCACTACCCTGATAAAACATATATCACGAGAGTTGTAAGCCAGGATGTTCTCTTGTGTTTGAGCTAGTCCTTGGCTCTTATGCAGTGGGGGACCTAGATGAAAGAAATGTTGTTACTAATATGAATTTTTAAATGTTCATGTGTAGATTTGGCACTTTACAATTGCAAAATCATCCACATACAGAACAGATTTTTCATATGTAAATATAGATATGCAAGGGGTTTTATATGTGACTTATACCTGTGAGTAATGTTCATGCACTTTTTTGCATGCGTGCCAATTGGTTTGCATTCTATAGGACACTTTTACTGTGACTGTATTGTTCACCTTCAAGAAGCCCAGAAGAATTATAGAATTGCATTGTATAGAATTGTAGAGTTGGAAGGTATCCCAAGGGTCATCTAGTCCAGTCCCATGCAATGCAGGAGTCTTTTTGCCCAGCATGGGGCTCAAACCCACAACCCTGAGATTAAGAGTCTCATGTTCTACTGACTGAGGCCTTCCTTGCTGTCCATGCCAGGTGGGCTTTAGTCAGTGTTGAAGTTTATTATTTTTGTTTGTATAATGTATCTGAAGGTGTCTCTGTTGTTGCCTTGAATAACTGAGTTTAAAAAGCAGATGAATGTTATGGAGACAGAAACCCATGGGATCATAGACTGTAAGACTGTGTGTCTATCTGCAAATCATTATTTAATAATTGGATGCTTGAGTGAAGAATAGTTGTCTTCACCTGCTCTCACACAATTGACCAGCAAGTGGTAAATATAGTTAAGAACCGTGATACAAAGTTGTAAGAAAACTCTGAAAACCCTGAAAATGACTGACTTGGTGTTCATGTCTTTACTCAGGTGGAGCCTGATAAGTTGAAGACACTAACAGAAGGTCTGGAAGCCTACAACCATGTCAGAAAGAGGAATAGAAAGTAAGTATTCTATATATATGAAGAGTGGACTCCAGCATAGCACTAAGTCTTACATTCCATCAGTGCCCAATGAAATGTTCTCCCACCTGGTGCACCCACTAATCCTGTCCTAGAGGTTTTTCCCCAACCTCCAGAGCAGATTTGGAGAGGGTGTAGGTCACACGTGGAGAGACGGAAGAAGGCAAGTCTTATTGCACAAGCAGAAATTCTTACACTAATAGGATGGGTTCACTTTATCCTAGAGATAAATGACACTCTTTACGCAGACTGAAGTTAATTTGAAAGAAGAATTGTAGTTTGTGGTGTGCTTACAGCTTCCATACGCATGCACACACACCAATTAGGAGTCAGTTGGGCTTGGAAGAAGATGAGACAACACAAGCCACTGCCTCTTTGCCCATCTTCTCTTCTTCCCTCTCTCTCTCTCTCCCCCCCCCAAACTCAGTCACTAGCCAATCTGAGCTGGGGAAGTTCCTTCCTAATCCCAAAGATGGCAATTAGCCAAGCCCATCCATAGAGCTTGCCAGAGATCATGAAATTAACATGCTCCCTGATGAGCTAACAAGCTGATTAGTGTATCCCGTTAGTAATTACCACACTGAAAAGTAGACCACAGCTTTAAAGCCACTATGCATCTTGTAGAGAGGGAAAAACGATACACCTTAACAGATTAAAAAGCAATGAGCAGGTGAGCAATTAAGTGAGCAGCCTGCAGAGAGGGCACATCAGTCAGAGGAGAAGCAATTAACACCCTTTTTAGTTTAGCTAAGCACAAACACCCCCTTTCAAATGTAGCACCACACAAGCAGCTAGGCAGGGGGCGGGGGAAGAGAGCGGAGACATTTATTTGAACACATGCAGTAATTAGACAAGAGGTACACCAAAATAAAATGTAGGCCACACAAATATGTTGTTTATATAAGGATAATATTTGAAGTTAAGCAAATTTTAGTTTTGGCTCTTTTAGCATCAATTCTGCGTACATTGTATAGAACACAAAGGAAAGTACTATATCTGCATGAATACAAAAACGATACTACTACCAGTTCTAACTTCTGTCAATATTACTGTTTGCCTGTTACTGTAACGTTATGGCAAAATGATTTATATTTGTTAACTCTGGGGTACCTTAGGAAGCCTTTTATAAATAAAATTCGCTATTTGAATTTTGTTTCATCTAATCTTTTCTTATATCTATTAAATTCAAGGCAATCGCTTCCCCACATTCACAGGCAACCTTTGCCAGGTAGGGCTGCACCACAGGAAAATAGTTCTCTCCCACAAAGGAGGGAGAGGGAAGCTTACTGTGATATGATAGCCATGTTCAAATATATAAAAGGATGTCACATAGAGGAGGGAGAAAGGTTGTTTTCTGCTGCTCCAAAGAAGTGGACACAGAGCAATGGATCCAAACTACAAGAAAGAAGATTCCACCTAAACATTAGGAAGAACTTCCTGACAGTAAGAGCTGTTCGACAGTGGAATTTGCTGCCAAGGAATGTGGTGGAGTCTCCTTCTTTGGAGGTCTTTAAGCAGAGGCTTGACAACCATATGTCAGGAGTGCTCTGATGGTGTTTCCTGCTTGGCAGGGGGTTGGACTCGATGGCCCTTGTGGTCTCTTCCAACTCTATGATTCTACTGTTCATTCTGGTAACAGAAGGGGTTGTTGAGCTATATCAGAAGGAGCTTTCTGACTGGGCCATGCTTTTAGGCCAGCCACACACACTTCTTGCCTGCACCTTATCTCATGATGTGATGTTTTCCTTGTAGGGAGAGATGAACAATGCCTCGCTTTTAGTTTCGATCTCATTGCAGGTTCCTCTACAATCATCAGTCGGGGGTTGGTAGGGGCACCTGTAACTGCTCAGGAGATTCTATTTAAGATTCTCTCAGGATAGTGCACCCACAAAGGCATTATGGCCCAAAGGGACCAATGTATTTCCTGGGCAAAGGCAGACCATGGTTACATGTCCACAGCCAGCCAAACACATCTAACCTAAAACAAAGTGTGGGCGGGGGAACATCCCATATTCCTTGCTACTTTATTTTCATCACATAATCCAATTGTGTTTGAGTGAATCTGAAACTTTCTCTGCCACAAAGACATGCAGTCATTTCATGCAAACATGTAAGTCTTCAATTTGACCATTCTAGAAAGAGGTGTATTCTGCACCTGTAATATCTAATGATATTATCACTTCCTCCGGTTTCTCTGAAGAGTCCTTAACATTTCAGTCCTTTTTGTGTACAGACCACTTGGATAAAAGTGCAATATAAATGATGCAGACAAGATTAAATGTTTGCGGGCCAGTTTTCTTCTGGCCACGGTGTGGTCACGGTGTGGTTGATGGGTGAATTCTGAAGAAAATTACACATATAGCACGATAGCTATGAAACTAAAACAAGGCATTTGTATAGTATGCAAAGTTGCATGTTAAGCAATTTGAAAAATTCTGAAAAACATCCAGAATCATTGGTTAGCTTAATTACTGTATGCTGCCTTGCAAAAGCCACCCAGTTATCTGTTTATTTCAGTAATCAAGGGCCAAGACAGACAAGATTGATTTGCTTCCTGGATACAACATATATGTAGAAAATTGAATAGACTTTGCATATGCCATAATGTGTCTGTTTAATCTCTGTTGCAAAATGAACTTGTATGTGTTTGTCACATCTGACAGTGTAAATGGAGTTTCCACTATGGATGCTATATGCACATAAGAAATTAATATTGTGCAAATGGCCCTAAAGTACATAAGCATATATGGAACCCTAAGATCCATAAAAGCCATAGATATCATGGAATATTCTGTAATTAGACTGAAGGTAGAAGACACACTGTAGAAGCTTTCTTCATATTGAACTCTCCAGCTATGGAATAAATGCAGTGTTGTTCAGTTTGGGACTCAGGTAAAGCAAGCCATTGTTAAATTCTGCAGCAGCCTGGCGATTCTTTAAAGCAGCCTAAATAGTTGAATCATGCCTTTGTGAGAGGCAATTTTTTTTGGCGCACATACTGATTGCACATAGCTAAGTTAAAAAGAAAGATACATTATCCTCTTGATACCTGCTGCTTTGTCTCTCTCCCCCTCCACCACCATGACAACCAGTGCTTTCTTCAAACATCCACTTCAGCATTTTAGTAAAAATGTGATAATGCCATGCTCTGCTTTTGAGCAACGTGTTCTTTGTTGTACAGTTTGTCATTTTAAAAGAAACACCTTTAAAAGAGGCAAACTAAAATACTGATTGCCCCATAAAGTTAATTTGCAATTCATGTAGAAAAAAAGATTGATTTTATGCCGATGTGTTTAGTGTATGCAATTTTTTTAAGTTACAGTTTGCTTTTTTTGTTTTTATGCTTTTTGAGGCATAGGCTGCATTTAATCTAAACTCCGATATTGTATGTAATGGATGGTCTCCCATGGCTGAAAATCTGAGTAGAATGTTATTTCAGTTTGCAGTTTATGTCTTTAAATTACATATTTTTAAATGGCATATTCTACTACAAAAAATCATGGGCATTCCTGTAATTTTTTTCCTTTGTTTTTAATCCTAGAAGTGGGAAGCTAAATAATCATTTAGAAGCTGCTATACATGAGGCCATGAGTGAACTTGACAAAATGTCTGGGAATGTGAGTACCCACTTCAGAATATATAACTTATTTAAAGCAGCCAGGGGGGGGGGGTGATTCTAACAAAACGATGGTTCTATTTTTGCAACTGAAGCTAAATCCTACAATTAGAGAGCCATTATAATTTCAGTAAGCCCGGAGAACTAGAAGCTACCATAGATTATTCCTAGCGTATGATATGAAGACATGAGACTTGATAAAGTTTTCTAAAGCCAAGCAGGTCTGCATCTGTCAGTGCCTGGATGGGAAACCTCATGGGAACCTAACATACACCACCTTGAGTTCCAAAATGGAAGAAAAGTGGCACTTCCGGGTTAGCGCCATCGCCGAATGGCGGACTCCCTCCGAGCTCCGGAGGGAGTCTGCTCGGCAGGGGCTGGGTCCTACCGCGCCGGCGACGCGGGGACCCTTAAAAACCACGGGCACGGAGTCCGTGGACATGGGTGACTCGGCTTGCACCATTAGCGCCCTCCCGACTCGTGAAGGAGCCTTTTTAAGGCTTCGGATCGGGTGCCGGGGAGTGGCGTGGTGCTTTGAGTCCACTGCTTTCCCTGCCGAGCGCAGCCGCATGCCATTCGACGGAGAGCGCTGACTTCTTCTATTGAAAATTTGGACTATTAACAACAACCCGTGAGTAATTGGGAAACCGGGTTCAAAATTTTGGATTTGGCACGAGCGGGGCGATTTAAAAGGAAGTCAATCCCCCTATTGTAAGCATTCCAAAACAAGGACTGGGTAACCAAGGTCCAAAGGGAAGTATGTCTCTGATAAAAATCATTAATTTCACGATGGGAAATTATAAGAAATGTGCTGGAGGAGAAGAGTGGAGGGTGAGAAGAAAATGCAACCCCCCTGGGAACCGGGCGATTCGTGGAGCCTGGTGAAGAGAGACGGAGACTTTGACAGCTGTCAAAGTGGCTGTCAAAGCTGGAGAATATAAAGAGGACTTTA